CCGCAATAGTCACATTCATCTCTTGCTGGGATATAGTCACTACTGAATCCTAATAGCATTTGTTTTTTGTTCGCCACGATGTTCAAACCTGCAAGATGAAATCGACGTTCTCCTTTAGTCGTCTAGACAATTTCACTTTTTTTAAAATTCTTGTAAACTTTTTCAAAAATTTGAAGTAAAAAAAACTTTAGTCTTAGTTGTAAGTGGTAATAAACACTCTTTGTTAGAATTAGTATCATTTCGTTTAGTAACAAAAACTTCTTTAAACGTATTCATAGCCTTCTTTATGTTGGCTATTTTTGCCTTTTTTGAAAGTTGCATAGCCGAATCTAACGGGGAGGAATGTCTTCGAATAATACTATGCATGTTCTTGACGGGATAATCTGAAAATTTAACTAGATGTTCAATTAGTACATTTAGTATTGGATGGTTATTTTCTATCCAATAAAATACATCTGAAAGAAATATTAATGGCGCTTTGTTATAATTATGTCTCTCAAATCACAAGAAAATAGCCCATGCCCTAAAAATACTCTCCAAATATGACTCCCACTCTCCTGATCGAAAAAAGATAGAATAGATATCAATTCCTAACGGGATAGTGTTGTCAAGCAAGTTGAAAAGAAATATATATTCCAAATCTTTACAACACATCCCGAATTTGTTAACTACAATTAGCTTGACTTTGTTCCACGAATTTCTTGCTAAATCCATAAGGAGAAATGAACAGTATAGACTCGGATTTTGCAGAAGATCCTTCAACGCACAAAACAAATACTTATGCTGCATATTGAAAAAACTCCAAAAGTTTGTTAGTATAGAACCAACCAAGTTAAGTTGTACGTGTAATGCACCAATAATTGGTATAAACGACAATACTATATCTAATAATAAATGATGTTAGTAACTAATGATTCAAAATTAAATGCATATAAGTAGACAATAGTTTTATTATATAATCTATATACCCACCTGGAATTTTTGAATTATTCGGATCCTGTAGGTGAAGACTAATTGCATTTCTTATAAATATTTGCCCAGGCCAATCTGCTACTACAGGCACAACATAATTACTCAAATAAGACTCTAACGTGTTAATGCTATTCAATCTTACCAAAGCATTAACATATGAGTCTACAGTCTTGAGCTTTTGCTCATTAAAATCAAACAGCATACTGTCTTTCATCTTACGTTCTTCTTCTCGAGCCTTGATTTGATCATCATATGAATGCAAAGATAATACCTCTAGCCTCGTATCAAATGGAAAGTTATAGGAGAAAGCTTCATTGGAGGTAAATGCCATGCGTTTCATATATTTTTCGTCTAGATATTTTGAAATAATATTAAAATCTATTAGTATAGGATTGTGAATTGAGACGCCATTTGATCCATAGATCGGAATAGCATCAGTTTCAACTGAATTTAATAACAAAGTCGTCATATGAGATGCCGCTGATGTGGAGCAAGTGTTGGGTGTTCGCTTGCCATGAATATTATGATAGTCGTCGACATTAAGTATCATTGCTCTCTTTACGTTCTTATTAAGGTAACCATCAACCAAATCATCGTGTAATTCTGCAATATCAGCCTTCTTTCGATCCATGTGACGAGATGTAATCGTAACTCCAGCTAATATGAATGCATCAATTGCTTCATGAGCTGTTCTCATAGAATTTAAAAATATCGACATCTCTGTCTTGAATGAAGTTAATTTTGAGTTACGATTGCTACAGATAAGATAACATTCAAAAGCTAGACGTTTGTCTAGCTTTTCTAAATACTCCTCGCTTCTTTCAAACGGATTTGCAGCATCATAAATAGAATTAAAAAAAATACTTAGCCGATGATCCTTGTCTTCTATTTCCTTTCGTAATTCTTGAAAACTATACAAAGGTGGCAGATTTTGCTTTTTTTCTCTATCATAAAGCAAATTCATCAGCACAACCACACCATCCACCCACGTAAACTCTTTACCTTTCAATTTTTCATCTTTTAGATTCCAAAGTGGTATAGTTTTATTTCAATTCCAGCACATTAAATAACATTGATATGCTAGAGATCGATTGAGTTTTTGTCTTTCATCTTCATTCTTATTTTCCATACCGACTGCTGTTTCAATTTTGTCAAAGAATGGAGTTAATAGTTCGCTTTCTTTTTTTACAAAAGCCCTGAGCTGTAAAAAAATCAACGATGGGGCTATTTTCTCCTAAAACATCTCTTTGAAAAATAATATTAGCCAGCAACTT